CATACATATATATAAATCATATAAAATAAACAACAACAATAACGAAAAACAACCAAACAACTCTGACGTCGATATCAACATCAACATAGACGCAAGACAACCACCCTTAAGTACGATCCGCCCTTCTCGAAAAAACCCATACCCAAGGGCTACGGCGGTGCGGCAACGGCGCCCAACCATCATTCCGTCGAGGAGGTATCCTTGGATGGCTCCAGCAAATTGGTGTATGCCAATCAGGCCGGATTCAGGTGAGCAATTCCATCTTTCAATCTATAACCAATGCCACAGCCAACGCCGCCCAAGCACTCAACCACCCAATTACCCAAACACCCATTCACCCAGTCATCCAGTCACCCAGCCACTCCCTCATCCAACCATCCAGATCTACTTAACACGCCTCGTTACGTTTACGTCTTTTATGCATTTTTTCTCTATTTGCTTTCCGTTTGTTGTTTTTTCTTCAATTTCATGCAGGGACAAGAACCTACATGGACGTCGCTATACAACGGGTGGTGAGGACGATCAATCACATGCAGGTTAATAAAAACATTCCCTATACATAATACATACATATAAATATATGCATATATATATGAATCTATCTCTCTATATATGTGTATGTGTGTATATTTATATATTCATTCACTAGCGGCTATCATCTCACACAGTTCTCAGCCAAATATCGTATACGTATCATATTGCTATGCATAGGTATACCAAAAGTAATTGACGTTCTTATCTAGTATATATAAATATATACATATTATATAACTTTACTTATATAACTCAGTGCCTATGCCGTTTCCTGTTACTATCTGCAGCTACTACAACTGCAATACAATACTATGTTCAACGTTCTTAAATTCATTTGTAGTCTTAAGCGATAGTTACCCTATATATTAAATACTATTTACTTTATACGATTTAACAGTTAAAGGTCAGTCTCTTCGGCTTCGCTCGGCCGCTGAAGTCTGAGGGAGCTGCCCCATACCTATTGTAAATCTAGTTGTATACACAACACCCACAATACACACATATCTGTTTGTATAACTCATTATTATTTCGATATACACAATGTTGCTAAATAACTTTTGCTGCATTACAAAATATTAGAATAATTTGTTCGTTCTCTTTAAAAGCTTCTTTGACTTAGCCTAACAGTTAAATAATACAATTTTACAGCACTCCAAGGTTGTCCTCAAGTGTGTCCTAATAAAGGCCAAAAATAATATTTATATTCGTAAGGCATTATTAACTTAGCTTTAGATATATGCACTAAAAATTTGCTTGGTTCTTCTAGATTTTAAATTACAAGTAAAAACTTCGATACGTATATTTTGTAATAAAAATATATACAAATTCATATTTCAAGGCATCTATACTCTACAAATAGTCTTAAACATCTTTGATCTAAAAATAGCTTAAGTTGGCATTGGAAATGGATCCAATTACTATGTGAAATTAAGTATTCAATGCTGAAAGTATTTACACGATATAAAATAATCGATCCGCAATACAAAAATAATCGATTACCGATCAATATATCGCGGTTAAAGTTTTAAGTGGTTTTTTCTACAAATATGTTGATCATAATGTACATTCTATAGTTTATAAATCTGAAGGAACTGGATTGGTCTGCAATGTATAATAAAATATAAGATTATTATTATGCTACTTTTTTAGGTTAAGTAGGAGTAAATTGATTTAACTATTGAACAGAAACAAACTGTTGTAAATAAGTGATTAATTTTGTGGTAAACTGTGAACTCTCTACTACTTCTACTGCTACAACTGCGAACACTACAATTTCTGCTACTATTAAAACCTTAATACTACCTAATACTATCATTACTACTACTGTGGTTACTAATACGTCTATGACTACTACTATTGCAACTTATACTACGACTACCTCTATTCTTACTACTACTACTACTACTACTTATAGGACAGATTATACTACATTTTTGTACTATATTACCACCTCAGAGCCGACTTGTACTATTATTATAGAGTCGACTTCTAGTACTATTTATATTATTATTTCTTCTGTTACTTTTACTACTACTTTTTACTACTACTAATAACATCTAACTTCTGCGAGGACTTCTATTACTATTTATTATACCATTTACAATTTTTTTTTTTTTACTTAGTCTTCCACTACTACTTCGTATATTGCTACTACTACGCCCACTACTCATTATATTACTGTTTATATTACTAATTTTTTTATAATTACTACTACGGCCCTACTACTATTACTACCTTTACTACCACTTCTACTACTACTTCTACTACTACATCTACTACCACTTCTACTACTACTTCTACTACTACATCTACTACCACTTGTACTACTATTTCTACTACTACATCTACTCCCAATTCTACGACTACTTCTAGTACAACCTTACACTACCATTTCTACTACTATTTCTACTTCTACTACTACATCTACTACCGCTTCTACCACCACTTGAACTACCACTTCTACTACTATTTTTAATACTACTCCTACTACTACTTCTACTACTACTGCTACTACTACTTACACTACCACTTCTTCTACTATTTCTACTACTACTACTTCCACTTCTGTTTTCGACGAGCTCTGTGCACTCTCTGCTGTCTGACTCTACCAACATTTGTATGTTCTTTTGCATGTACAACGTGTGAATACGATTGGACGCCACAGAGAAGGGCATACTGAAGAAGCACGGCTATGGACTTGTGCACGGCGAGCAGCTGAAAGACAAGTGGTGCGATGACAGCCAGTCGGACAATCTAGAGCTGATCACACAGGACGGCACACAGGCCTCAACGATTGGTGGTGCGGCTGCCTCAGAGGTGGAGCGTACTTTGAAGTCACTCAACGGCTATCACGAGGATATTTTGGAGGCGCTGCGCAATGCGGCTTCGCATCGCGGCACCGGCACTGGCAATACGCCCGTCGGCAGTGGCAGCCTGAGTGAGGAGATGTTGCGCAAAACTCTACAGGACTGCAGCAACGCCCAGCTGGGCTACACGGCGGAGACGTACAAGCGGGCCAGCGGGTCTAAGTCGAGCTCGCGTGAGAATATATGCGACAGCGCCGCAGCACATGCCATTTTGTTGGATGGCAGTGGTTCCGGGCTCGGTGGCCTGACGCTGGGCCCCGACATGAGCGGCGTACGAGGTGTGAGTGGTGGTGTGGGCGGTGTTGGCGGCGCTGCTGGCTTGGGGAGTGCAATCGGTCATGGCGGTGCGCTCATGCACCACCATCGATCGCAGCATCAGCTGCATCAGCCATCTGGAATGTCTCTGCAGCAGCAGCCAACGGACGAGGACGACGCCCCATCGACTGGGCCGCTGCGTATACGCAATCTGGAGGATCTAATCAGGCAGCTGGAGCATCACTCGTCCCGCCACATGAGTCCCAGTGGCTCCGAGGATATACGCATGTCGGAAACCGAGGCCGATCGTCACTATAGATTAGATAGTTCCGCTGCTTGTAGTGAGTCCTCGCAAGGGTTAGTTTCGAATTCGATTATTTGATTTCGATACCGATTACGATCACAATTACGAGTACAATTTCGATTTCGATTTCTATTTTTATTTAATGCCAACCCGAATACCCAACAAATCCCGAGCCAAACAATTACCGCCGAGTCCGACAAATCCGATAAATGCTTATAGGAGTTACATTTAATTTGCATCTAATACAGACACCTACACCCACACCCACACCCACACACACACAGATACACGCATACGCCTAACCTTACTCGTACCTTGTTTGACTTAGCGTAGGTTTTGCTGGTATTCTAATAATTTATGGAATGTACTCAACAGCTGTGTGCATTGCGATTGAAAAAATGAAACCGTATGTACTTTAATAGAACAGTACCGAAATGCTTGTCTTATAACCGCAATAAGTATTATTTGTACTCGTTTTATCGTATCACCCAAGTTGTGCATAAATACTTAATATACAAACTCTATATAACCTGATCGAACGTAGCGGCAATTGCTTCACACACTTATTAATGGCGTTCTAGCGTTTAATCAACATATATGGCTTTAACATTCTTCACAACATTTGCAGACATATTTGCCAGCATAGTGCAAACTGGAACAAGCGCATTTAACATACACACAACACACAACAGACACACACATACAATTAACAAACAGATGAGCATGTTTGCTGTCCGCTATCGGGCTGCTGATATTTACAAACTGAACTTTAGCCAACGCAACTTTCTATTCGCATTTCTTGCAGGCTTCAGACTGGAATATCTTGTGTGATAAAGGTTGGTTTCACAAGCGTTGCCACGCCCATATATACTATACATATATATATCAATATAAAAACAAAACATAAAAACAAAATCAATGAAAACTTGCTTCCCTTTCAATGATAAAGGCTTTCCAAAACATCCATGGACCCTTCTCTATATATATAGTCAGATACGAAATAGGGTTCGCTCTCCTCTGACTTGTGACCAAATGGTTTTCGGTATATTATTTAGTATTTAAAAACAAAATAATTTTTGTCTGTCTTGAACTCGGTCTCGGTCTCGTTATCCCAATCCCATCCCGTTTAATGTTTTATTTTTGTGTGCGTGTGTGTGTTTTCATTTTATTCTTGGTTTATTTTGCTCAATTATGCTAAAGACTCTTTGATTGCTCTCTGCTTTTTGATCTCGCCAGCTCGAATCAGCAAGCAGCTCAATCTCAGAAAACCGCTACAATCCACCCGTCTTACAGCAGCCGTTGTCGGCCCCGCTCGGACGAGGACTCGCGCTTTGCCTACGGCGGACGCTACCGCACACAGGCGCCCACTGGCCGCCATACAACGCATCAGTCGCACTCTCCGCACGCATTCGGACACCATACACACCATTCGCACGCCCATGGACATGCCACACACGGACCCCATTCATCGCACCACTCGTCGCACACGCACCTGCACCAGGATGACGAGGGCATCTATGAGAGCGCCGATCATCATGAGCGCGGCGCCCTCGACACGCGACTCGATCCACAGGAGACGCCCGAAAGCGAAAGGTAAGTCTCTGTCTCTCCACCTCAGTCACTGTCGCACCCAATCGCCTCCCATTCGCAACTCGCAATAGTCCATCGCAGTCAGTCTCAGCCGTCCATTGCCTTAACATCCACGATCCCTTGCTAGCTCTATCGGAGGCTTTATAGCTCTGGAGATGAGTCGCTGCTCCTTAGCTCATTGTTTTCTTAATGCATTGTGCAGCTATTTGGTTGATTATCCCTCCGTTCTAACTATTTCCTATACGACAATTACAAGGAATTTCATAGCCAAGATCACAGAGGTTCGAAATTGAGAAGTTATTTGCTTTGATTTCTTTACTGAACCATCTCGGGCTGTGCTTGAGCTCTTCTTCTGATCGGCTCAATTTCCTTTAAGATTGATCATCTTTATGATTGATCCCTTTAAGATACATTCTCAATTCAATTCGATTCTCAATTAGGTTCAAGTCTGCATAGGATACATAGGAAAATTATCATATGGCCCGCTATTTACCTATTCCAATAAATTTTTCAAGTAATAAACTCCATCTCTTTATTGCTTGCCCTCTGCAATGATCCATCTATATACGACCTTAGGTCTTAGGCTTTTAGTAACTTTTCATCATTTGATATCTAAAATAGAAACGACTCCTAGCAGCAGCAGCTTATGTTGGTATAGGACTTTAAGATATAGAGTAGGGTTAATCTCTCTGTTGCTTGGCTTTTATATAAGAACCTTAGGCCTTAGGCTATATATCTAATGTAAGGGACTTTTCTTCATTCGATATCTAAAAGAAACGACTCTCAACAGCAACTTATGATAGTATATAGCTTTAGGACATACAGTAAAGCTTAGATAATTTTTACCTCTACCTCGACCCCTGCTCCCGCCTTGATATTGTGTGCATGTGTTCCTTATCTATCACATACGATCATGAATTTGTGTAAATGATTTCCGTCATATCGATGCTGTGACCTTGCCCTGAGATGCTAAATGTGAATGATATTTATTCGAGTGCTTGGCTAGCCGTGGCTGTGAGCCACTCGATCAGCTCTGAGCGTGTCTCCGTGTCTGCTGTCCTGTGTGAGAGGAAGGTGTATGTGCCTGCACCAGTCCACCCAGCCTTTTGGTCCTGTGTCCTGATGTGCCCCCCTTGTGTTCTTACCATGTACCGTTGTTCCTGTTACGATTATTATTTTCTAGTGATGACTTTATTCAAGCTCAACAACAGTTAGCCCGGTGGGCGAGTGAGGATGTGGTATCCGTCGTGGTATTGGACCAGCCGCAATCCGGCACAATGTCGGATTCCCAACAATCCAGCGGCGTCGCGCCCATGTCGGGAGCTACAACGAACAACGTTATGCACCATCAGCATCCGCACCAGCACCACGGCGATCATCAATCCTCCGCAGCGGCAGCAGCGGCGGCGGCGGCGGCGGCAGCCAACAGCAACTCTATAATGGGTATGGCAGTCGTCCCAAATGGTATAAATGTAAGTCAGAGGGACTATTACCCCTCGCCACCCTCAACGGAGACGGAAAGCAGTGGAAGTGTTATCCAACCAGCTACACGCCGCACGTTGCAGTCGCAATCGGGCGACACGGCGGCCATCAGTCAACAGCAATTGCAGCTCCATCAACTGCAATTGCATCAGCATCAGCAATATCAGCATCATCATCAGCAGCCGCAGCAGCCGCAGCAGCAGCAGCTGCAGCTGCAGCCGCATCAGCATCAACAACAATCAGTCGATACCAGCAGCAGCAACAACAGTCAATCCGGACAAATAATCGAGAATGGCTGCTACCCGGAATATAAGCATTGACAGTTCAAACACCTCTAGCTTCAGCCCAACCATGGCAGACTCGTAAGGCAATTCCGTTTTCTGGCCAATATCTAGATGGCAGGCAACCGTTCAGAGCAGACTTTATTAGGACTTCAGCATACATTAAATAGATTTAAAAAAAAAGAACAAAAAAAAAAAAAAGAAATGAAAAAAAAAAGAGAGAAAAGTAAACCCAAAAAGAGAAATGGAAAAAATGAATATGAAAACAATACAAGATGAAAATGAAAGCAAAAGTTGAAAATAATACAATTAGCATACATACTCATATTGAATAATATACATTCATACTTACATGCATACATACATACGAGTAAGTACTTACGATGCATACACACACACGCACACACACACACACACAGCTAGTTATAGACTAAATGGTATTAAAGTGAAAAGAAAAAGAAAGGAAAACTCAAAATTGTAAACGCAAGCAAAGTAATTTATTAAAGGCCGTTGCACTCATACACACACACACACGCACACACACAAACACATGCATGCATACATACATACATATACATACATGTGTACATACGGACAAAAATCATACATACATATGATGAACTTCATGCATGCTAACATACATACACTGAGAGAACAACAGAGAAAGATAGAGATACAGAGAGGCAGAGAGAGAGAGAGGCGTGTGTGCACGCATTTGATTTAAATGTGAATGTAGACTTTAAGAATTTTTATACTTAACATAATTACATAGCAGTATGTACATACATAAGTACCTCAGACGTGCCGGCGACGCCTGAACAGGAAGTAATATGAATGAAATGAATGTAATAATTGTAAATACCAGAGACATGCATCACACGCATGCACACATACATACGGACGTTTGTTATGATATATACATACATATACATATGTATGGAGCTGGAAATAACTATAATAGACGTTTTGAAAGCACTTTCTAGGCTTAACATGCCCAACATGCCCATTATTATTAATAACAATAAGAATAAATAATAATAATAATAACAATAATGATATTACAACCAATAGCTTAGCCAGCGGATATACGAAACATAACGAGTATTATGAAACTTTAAAAGACAAATCTGTGTAATGTGTGCTATAATAAAGGAGAATTTATTTCCTGTTCTAGAAATAATGATTTTTTTTTTGTCGTAGAACTATATGCATATAGATAACAAAAATAATATACATACATATATACATATATAAATATACTAAATTATAGTTAATACTTAGCTCGATCTCTATAT